ACTTCAGCAAGCTGTTACGCATGGAAAACCACCTTTCAAATTCCTTTCGATTTCAACTGAAACTCGACCGCAGCGCATAGAAAGCTATTTAACTACATTGTACTCGCCCCGCCACTCTTACTTTTGTAGCCAGGCTCAAGTCTTTCAACAAGAACAGGTCTAAAAAGGAGGTGGGATCGAGTTATATAAAAGCAAAACTCACCAATTTTGAAACTCTCTAACCAGGCTTCCACAATTATGTCAATCGATCTTTTGTCTTTATAGTGCATAACCCACAAGGATATGGTTTCGATAGCTTCTTGCGAAACGCTATGTACCTGCACAAAAGCTTGAATTTATTCCTTGAGGAATTCCAGAAACTGAAACTCACATCCGTAAATCGGCGCATCACTGTCTCAAGCGTTAGTGCCGTCATGATGAACAAAATGATAGCCAGTCACTCAGCTACAAGCTCCAGCGGTTTTCATCAGCTAGCAGAGCACTTATTTAACACCTGTGAATAAGGATATCCTCTATTGAAAAGCCGGCACGATTCATGAACAACTAGATGAGCAAACTTCGCAAATAGGACCACAAATCGTTATAAAATTTCTTCAAATAACCGGCTGTGAATTGAACAGAATTTGATAAAAGGCATCAATCAACCACACCTCCAAACCATTTGAATGACAACATAGCCACTTCAAAGGAATTTAATAACATTCAATCCGATGTCTTTGTCTGCCAACATTATACAGAGACGTTTATGAGAGCGCGACAACATCGTATCTTGTTGTGACGTTGGACCAAATTATTATGTGGGTTCTTCACCGCGCTTCTGCTTCGTGGACTTCTTCAAATGTTTTCGCTAAATTCGCTAAAAACTAAGTTTGCAACGGCAACTTCTTTGTCGAAACACTTTGGTTTTCCAAAGTAAGACACTCGTCACGACTATTGCAGGGTAGTTTGTTGGTTCTATTATGACTTACATGGCTGTTAGACATAGAGGTTCTTTGCACTAACGATAAAGGCTTAGTCGCGAGGTCGAATTTATGAAGGAAAGTCAAGGACTTTCTAGATTGACGAGACATAGTACTTCGGTCCTACGGTCTTCGGAGACTCCCCTCATTCTAGTTGAAAGTCTGCCTCTCTATTCTGCGTAATAAAAGTGAATGTAAATGTATGAATGAAATGAATCCCTAAAGTTCATTTCTCCTCAAGCCTATTGATCTGCCAGATTCTTCACAGTTGAAAGGGCACATTTCGTGACTCTGAACTGTTCCCTATAGCATCAATCTCACGATCGCGATGCCAACTACTTCATATTCATCGACCCCAGACTTCTCTTGACTATTACCAGCTATCGATCGGGGGCGTGGACATATGTAAGAGGCGTGAACAGACACTTGTCTTGTGTCCCTAACACCCATTGTCACGCAATTCCGAGACGCGTTTAAGCAATCAGGTTTAGCGGCCGCCAACCCGTTCTACCCAGTTTGTTGAAGCGGGTGAGACAACAGCTGGTGGACAACGTCTTACACGAACGATACGAAACAGTATTGTCGCTTGCCAGAAGAAAAATACGGGTTGAGCCGGGCAAATGCACCTTGCTGGTGGCGCCCATGCAATCTGGCAGCCGCACAACACCAGCCTCAAATGTTCTCTCGTTCGTTCTTCTTCTCAACATGTGCTCGTGCGGGGCAGGATGGGGTAGAGCGGGGGGGGGTACCAAGTGACCCTCCGCTCTGCTTCCTTCCCCTGCACGTGCTCAGCCGGACCTGAGCACGCGCAGGGGAAAGGTAAGGAAAACAGGGGGAAGAGGTTGGATGAAGGGAGAATGGTGAGGAGGGGGGGGGGGGTGCGAAAGCGCACGCTTGAGTAGGAGCACGCAGCAAGAGAGGAGGATACAACCGCTATCAAAACTGCAAAGTAATCCAAATGAAGTAACAAACTATGATGTTGTTTTGATTGTGATACCTTCACTATATAAGACAGTCATTTAGTACACTCCGAGCCACTGCACAAGCAGCTCACGTAGCAGCTGGACGTTTGGGTTGGTCCATCTATTACGTTTCGATCAAACAGCGCAAGTATGAAGCAGCTGATGAATGCGTTTCCATTATGAGCTGCGCCTGGCGAGTCCGAGCCACCTAAAGAGAAGGAGGGAAGCTTGGCGTTAGCCGGGCGATCCGACTGGTGAGAGAATGAATTGGCTTGGTCAATTAGAAGAAAAAAAAAAAAAAAAAAAAAAAAAAAAAAAAAAAACACTTGATAAGAACTTATCGTTGAATGCATCCGAGATAGTGGAAGTACACTATTAATTCCACCAGACCTTCGTTGAGAATCACTCGCCAAACTGCTCTACTCTCGCACGAACAATGCCTAAAAACTATTCGTTTTCAGAGGAGGTATAAGTAATCCTTTACATTCTATAAAGCAGAAACTTTGTGTGTCGGTTTGTCGGTATGTATGTCGGTTGTATGTCTGTCCGTCCGCAAAATGCTTTACGGGATTAAACACGTTAGTGAAAGAAGAAAACGACCGCTAGCCAAACCGGGAACCCATCGGTGCAGATGTATCAATCCAATGTTTTGATTGTGATAACAGCATATATAAGACAACCACTCGGTACACTCCGAGCCATTGCACAGCTGCTGCGTGCAGCTGCTCGTGCGGGGGCAGGGTGGGGGTGCCAGGTCGCCCTGCCTCCTTCTCCTGCATGTGCTCAGCCGGAGCTGAGCACATGTATTGGAGGGAGGCAGAGGGAAGGGTCGCGGGAGGGGGGGGACAGTGAGGGGTGCGTAGCGCGCTTTCAGTAGAAACGCACACCAATGGATGAGGAAACAACCGCTAACAAAACTGCAAGCCAATCTATGTTACCGTAACGAACTAAGTTGTTTTGGTTGTGATAACACTCTCCACTATATAAGAAAACCACTACACTCCGAGCCATTGCACGGGTTGCTCGCGTGGCAGTTGGACGTAAGCGCGTGCAAGGGGCAAGGTGGAGGGGGGGAGGGGGGAGTGGGGTGTGGAGTGGCGAGTACGGAATGGGGTGAGGTGAGGAAGGTGGGAGTTAGTATCGAGTGACCCTTCTCCCATCCTCACTTCCTTGCGCGTACTCAGTCGGATCTGAGCCCATGCAGGGGAAGGAGGCATATGGATTGAATCGGGCAAACTGGGTACAGTAAGGATGCGTAGCATACGCTTGGATAGGAGCAGGCGGCAAGACAGAAGGAAAGAACCCCTAGCAAAACTGCAAGCTAATCCATGTTACAGCAACGAACTAGGAAGCTGTTTGGATTGTGAATAGCTCCCCTATCTAAGCCAACCACTGTGATAGACTCTGTGCTATTGCAGGAGCTGCTCGCTTGGGAGCTGGACGTGAGCACGAGCAAGGCGGTGGTAAGAACAGTGGCGGCGTAGTGTCCCCTATGTTGCACCAGCTGCTCACGTGGGGCGGCTGCATGCCCACATGGCGGGAGTGGGTCCGCCGGTTATATAGTGGTCAGTGGATATTGGATGGGGGGGGGATACCAGAATGAGAGTGATTTCGCGATTAGGAGCATATAGCGCCTGCGGTGGTAAGGCGTCTACGGTGCGATAAGATGAGAAGAGAATGGATCGACCGCAATCGGAACTGAACCGGTTAATGTTACATTATCAAATTGTGATAGCGTTTTGATAGTCCGATGAAACACCCTCCCAGCACTGCAACCATCTAGTGCACTCAGAACCACTCGGGCTATTCGCGTAGCAGCTGAGCGTGACCTGTAGGGTGGCTGAGCGGGGAATAGCTGAGTTAGTTTGGGGATAGGTGAGGTGAAGGGGTACCATATTGACGCGACCGACGCTCGCCTGAACAGGAGCACGCAGCGCAACTGCGAGACCGGACGAGCATCCATGGCTGTCATGAGATGGGAGGAGAGTAATCGATTATCCATGACCAGATTTTGAACTTTTCATTATGAAAGTGCCCTGCGATCATATGGCGCGTTTCTACATTCATTTGATTAGAAGACAGCGATTAGTCACGACTCTAAAGCAGTTGCATGAGCCCGGCGAAGCCGGGCTTCCAAGAAGGAGGAGAGCTCGGCGTTAGCCGGGCGATCCGACTGGTAGCAAGATATAAGTTGAAGCGCGTAGTTATTTGATATTTCGAAGTTAATAAGTTTCCTCATTTAGGTCGCATACCATGCCGCTATCAGACATTCCAGATGTCGACATCGATCCTTCGGGAACATTCAAGTATATTCTGATCAAGGTATTTGTTTCCTTTCATTTGTTGTACGCTTTTGGGGTTGCGGTATACTTGCGTCACCAGCGTTTTGAGCGTTTCGAGCGTACGCCAGCGCAAAGCGATTTTTAGCAGAGTATAGGTATCGAGTAGCCAACGTCAGCATGTGCCTCTAGCGTCCAGGAGTGGAGAATGTGGGTAAGTTGGAGGGTAGGAGACTGCTAAATTAGGCGTCGTGAAGTCGCGATGTGTGCAACCGCACTGTACAACTGCCCTACATTGTAAACCAAGATGCATAATTCTGTGCTTCAGCAGTAGTACGCTGCGGTCGCACACGCCGTTTCCGACCGACTGAACTGTCCGCTACCCTCCTAGTTCCACATACTCTTCACTCCTGAACGCTGGGATACGCTAGATCGATACCTATACTTTCCCAGTCGCTTACGCTGGCGTACGCTCGAACGCACAAAAAGGCCCAGCGTACACTGACGCAAAGCATGAAGCAGCCTAACGTCCGTGCTGGTCGGTGACGCGCGCTGTCGCAGTGAGATTGCTCTCGTTCCGGGCTCTGGTAGCCCTCACACCCCCGCGCCCCCCCCCCGCCCACAGGCTTGTCAGATCTCCCGCTGTTGTCTCAAATTGAATAGTTCATGAGAGCCAAAATTAGTGAGACAGTAGTCTCACTACTGTCTCTTTAATTTTGTCTCACAATCTACTATTTTCGTCTCACAATCTACTATTTTCGTATAGCGATGATACTGCTCCTTTACCAGTGCTAACGTGGACGGAGTACGTGTGGGCAATAGGAAGGGGTAAGAAGCGACACCAGTCTGCGGTGACTTTGTTCTTGCTAAGATGAACCTGGTGAAGGAACATGTCGCTACCTGCCGACTAGCAAGGTACCGACTAGCAATTGAAGGTGCGTTTATGCTCTGCGTCAGCGTTTTGACTGAGCGTATCTAACTCCTAGCTATACTACGAAAGCATGCCAGCGTACGCATGCTAGATCGATCCCAGACGCTCAAAACCCTGTTGTACCCTCAAAACGCTCAGAAAGTGTGAACGCACTCTTAGTCGCCATCTTGTGCTCTGCTTCCCCCACCCACTCAACCACTACCTTTATTTGGCTGCACCTTGCTGGTTGTTGAAGTGAAAATGAATAGTCTATAACTGTCACACAAATGCAACTTTATGTCTTTTTTCAGTGCACCGACAAGTCATCGATGGAGACGAAGCACATCGTGCGTGGATATTACAAATGTCATTTTCATGTCGATATCCTCAGAGCTGCTCGAGAAGATGCAGGACCGTCTTACTCGCTTAAGTGTATTGGAGGTGGAAGGATCCGGCACGAAGACGACGCAAAGGAAATCCTCGTTTATGGATATTCTCATGTGATTTATCAATTTTTGATAGTTTTTTAGTACTTACAATTAGTGCCTTTTTCTATAGACTGGTCATGCAGTTTTTTTGCCTCTAATTTCTTTTATTACTGCTTAGTTATTCATAGGCCTCAGGGAGGATATTAATGGGTCCAGCGGGGTGAAGTCCAAAGCCTAATCAATTAGCAACAACGCCTGCGGAGGGTAGTCCTCATGATTCTCCTCGATATTATTTTCCATCCCACCCTTTACGTATAGGGGCCTTATAAAACCTAGGGAAGTTCGTCAAAATTAACATGTACTTTGAATGGAGACGGTAGATCGATAGAGACTATAAGGTTATTTACAAATATAGATAGCAAAACTGCAACCTGCATTTCACAAGCAACTTATGAGCAGATTGAAGTTTGTAATGGTGCAGTAGGGTGGAGGCTTGGCGGTGAGCTGTGAAGCATAAGCGAGGAATCACATTACGTATGAACCAAATCAGTCTTGGCTTCAGTCGGTAACGTCCGACGTCTGACGACTGCACTGTCGATTGCATGCGACTTACTCGCTTATGTGCTGTCACAGTCCAGCCAATCGCTCACCATACGCTCATTACAAAATTTAGCCTGCTGCGTAGTTGGCTTGTGAAATGCAGGTTTGCGTTTGGCTAGCTATTATTGTGGATAACCTTATAGACTCTTATAGATCTAACCAGGTCCCATTCAAAGTTCCATGGTAAGTTGGCGGACTTCCCTGGTAACTCGACTGCTGTTTCCGTCTACTAATCAGGCTTCTAAATGGCTTCTAAATGCAAGGTTTTTCAGGGTTTTGGACAAGCAGATCATTCGATAACAGTCGATATCCTCAAAAAGCGATACCCTGATTACCACATAACCTTCTCGAATGAGGGTTATTGAGAGCTTTATTTTTCTCTTCAACGGTTACTCTTGACTTAATGTGAGGGCTCATTTGTTCACAGAGCTTATTATTTGTTGTAGTACCAAAAATAGCTTGCCATCGTATACCATTTATCGCTATATCGCTCGCAATTGCATGTAAAATCAATGTCGGCGCATTGTGCCTTGGGAGGGGCCAGATGAATTTTCGCGTCAGCGCTATAGTGGCTTTCATTTCTGAGAAGTTGGAACTGGAATGTGCGAGGTAGCTCACCCACTCCGAAGTTTTTGCCTTCCTAGGCGTGGGCGTATCATATTAGTATGCAGTCGTAGCGATCGCGGTAACAAGTTGTGTCGTGTGCGCGGCATTCACACCAGGACCCGTACTGGCAATGCTATCAGCTTGCTAGGGAATAGACTGCAAGTTTATGCACCATGTCGCGCGCCAATGATATACACGCCAAAACCGCACAATATCTTGACTTTGACGCAATACTGGCCCCTCCCGAGGCACTTAGGGCCTAAATATCTATTCCTTGCACTTCGTTTGCCTTGGACTTTTCAGAGAGTGAGACAGACTTGCACTTTGGAGCGTTAGTTACGAACGATTATAAGGGCGAAACTTCTCATAATTAGTAGCCCTTTGTTGTCATATGCCAGTTCTTATTCCGGTGATTTTCATCAGTAGTAGTCATAGTATTCAATAAGCAGGGTGTAGATTTCAAATTTTGATGGTCCTTCCTCCTACCAAAGAGAAATTGTTTCAAACAATTGTACGAACGATATATTTAATATGTTTATTCAGTACTTAATGATTTGGCGCTGGGTTTAAGTTTTGATAGTGTTCCCGTTACCGTGTGTGTTTGTACATAATAAAAGCACCTAAATGTTAATAAAGGCAATGCAGCACATCGTTGAGGCTGAGCATCCATTGATGTATTGTGGCACTGCATACAGTCATGATTCCTGCAAACGATAGGGCATGTGACGTGGCGTGGACTGGAGCGCAGCAGGACGGCTTCTCCCACCAGTGCTGCTATCCTGAGTCCACAAAAATTGGCGGAAAGGAGTGGTGTGGCTCCGCCCTAAACAAGGCTCCTTCACAGCCATATCGTTTGCAGGGATTATGAATTAATGCATATTAGACTCGCCGCTACGTATGGTTGGCCTTTCAATACGCCTCGAGTGAAGTTCGGCAGGTCCACTAATTTTGCCATGAGTGAGAGCCTATTCTTGCGACTTACAGCCGACGACTCCAGACCTGGAGGCAGAAAGAAAAGCTCATATCTCTAAAGTCACCATTAGAGTCAAATTCTAGAGAGGCGGAAAGCAGAAAAACGTCGCAAACACCCCTAATAAGCTCGCTCTCATTTCGCTTGATTTTCATTGAAGGTCGGGAAGTGAGAGCCGAAGGAGCACTACGAGCTTTATCCTTCGGCCAGAGACCAGGCATAAAGAATGAGAGGACAGGAATTGAAATGGTGTGGGCATTTCAATTCCTGTCCTCTCATTCTTTATGCCTGGTCTCTGGCCGAAGGATAAAGCTCGTAGTGCTCCTTCGGCTCTCACTTCCCGACCTTCAATGAAAATCAAACGAAATGAGAGCGAGCTTATTAGGGGTGTTTGCGACG